AGCCAATGTCAGCACACTTCCATTAGGGAGAAAGCAATACTCTTTTTGTCTGCTAGTTTAGTTTGGCTAATTTATGATTATGCAATATGAGTGGAGCATCTTCTCTAGCTGTGCACTGGATTTGAAAAGCACTGTGTGCAAATCAGACCGAAAAATACCCTTCTGAAAAAGAATGTGCATGTGGAGTACTGAAAATATTAAAAGTATTTTTTTTTAACTATACTTGATTTACTATTGCTATTTTTATTATTAAATAAAGGTTGCTTAAATGTACTTAAAGGGAGTTTTATGAATATGTTTCTTAACACACTTGAGTACACTTTCAAAAAGTGCACCTTGTAATAATGTCACAAGTTTTTAAAGTATCCATATATTAGAAATAATTTAAATTACATTTAAACATATACTTACAACAAGTCCTACTTAAGTGAGTCAAAGAAGCATTCTCTCTATTTAATAAAAAATAAAATGCTAAAAGTCTTTTAAAAAGTATGCTTTTTTCACAATGGTATACAGCTGTTTTAATGCTTATTTTCCACAGCCATTTGTCAGAAAAAAATTTTTTTCTACTGCTATACTGCTACTGCTACTGTTCATACTGTACTCAGTATTGGTATTATTGTACACTTTTGTACATAAATCGTCTTTTTGCCTGTGCTACTGTTCATACTGTACTCAGTATTGGTATTATTGTACACTTTTGTACATAAATCGTCCCAAATTGTTTTTGCCTGTATTGTCATCTAAAATTATTAGTATTTTCAGTTGTGTGTTTAAGACCACTTAAAGAAGCACATATTTGATCTGAAGAATTTACACACAAAAAAAATTGGTTCTTCAGCAGTTCTTTGTGGTAGTTGAGGTGCTATATAGCACTGCTAAGTGGTTCTTCGGCTCGTAATCATAAGGGAACCAATTTAAGTGCTATATAGCACCTATAAAGAACCTGTAATGGTTCTTATGCGGTTCTTTAGGGTTAAGGTACTATATAGCACCATATTTAAAGATATAGGTGCTATGTAGCACTTAAAGTGGTTCCCCTATGTATTAAAGCATTAAAGCATATGCTTTTATTGTATGTTCCATACATTCCTGGTCACGTAGTACCTGCAATTTATCTGCAAACCATTGCTACATTGCTAATCTTCTCATACATTTATCGAAGTAACTCAATAAGAATTTACATTTACATTTAGTCATTTAGCAGACGCTTTTATCCAAAGCGACTTACAAATGAGGACAATAAAAGCAGTCAAAACTAACAAAAGCGCAACAATATATAAGTGCAAATGGCAAGTCTTGGTTAGCCTAACGCAGTACACGTAGCAAGGTGTATATATATATATTACACACACACATAAACACACACACACACACACAAAGAAAAACAAGTAGATAGAATAGAAAAAAATAGAATAGAAAAATATAAATAATAATAAAAAATAATAATAATAAAAGATAAATGTAGAAAGTGCTAGAGTTAGAGGGTCAAGTAAAGGTGGAGCAGATGTGTTTTTAGTCGTTTCTTGAAGATGGCAAAGGCTGTTTGGTAGTCAGTGCAAATTGATGAACAGAGGTGTGACATGCGTTCTTTTTGGCTCATTAAAGATTACTCTTGCAGCGGCATTTTGGATTAATTGTAGAGGTTTGATAGAAGTGGCTGGAAGAACTGCCAAGAGAGCATTGCAATAGTCCAGCCTGGATAGAACAAAAGCTTGAACAAGGAGTTGTGTTGCATGTTCTGAAAGAAAGGGCCTGATCTTCCTAATGTTGTATAAAGCAAATCTGCAGGAATGGGCAGTTTTAGCAATGTGGTCTGAGAAATTCAGCTTATCATCAATCACAACTCCAAGGTTTCTAGTTGCTTTTGAAGGAGTTATGGTTGATGAGTCTAACTGGATGGTGAAATTTTGATAAAGTGATGGGTTTGTTGAAACCACAAGCAGTTCTGTCTTAGCCAGGTTGAGTTGAAGGTGATGGTCCGTCATCCAACAAGAAATGTATGTTAGACATGCTGAGATGCGAGCAGGAGATGCTTTTAACTAAGAATATAATATTCATAATATAATAGAAAATTAAGAATAAGTAGTATAATAATCCAATAGATTTTGCTGGCATTTCTCACACTAGTTAACATTAGTGTCCATGAATTCATCATTCGGAAAACACTGTAGAAAGGTGGTGTGCATGGGAATGCACCAAGGAGGAAACCACAGCTATACAAACAGAACACTACTGCCTGTCTGAGGTTTGCCAAACTCCACCTAGATGATCCATGTGGCTACTGGAAGAATGTGATACATTAATATATTGCTTTACATTCTAATGTCACACTAACATTGGTTGCAGTTCTTTCACAACATATCTTTATTAAATTATTCTCTAGCACAGAATGCTGTAAGCTCTCTCTGTATCCTTTGGATGGTACTCACAACAGGGGATTTCTGCAAGTTAACCTCCCCCATGATCAGGCCACCCACATTCACAGTCATGTGGCTGGGATTGGCCATTCTAAATGAGTCCAGTGTACTCCATATTGAATCCTGACTGAAAGGGAATAATGGAACACAGGAAATGGCCCCTGCTTTGATATGACCACTAAACTTATCTTGGAGTGCTATAGATTTTGTAGATGTTGAATGAAACCTGTCCACAAAAGACGGAAGGAAATCTAAGTTCTTATACTTTTGAGAGAAAGAAAAGAAAGAAAGAAAGAAAGAAAGAAAATTATTTTCATAGAACGTAAAGTTGAAATCAGCTGATAAGATCACATTGCATTTATCTGCGTTCACAGACACAGCATGGCATATTAAATTGTATTGCCTTTTAATTACATTTCTGGTATTTTCCTTGAAATTCATTACTGTGTATTTTATGAGAAAAATGTGACAAAATTAAGATGAAAGTGCCCCAGTTTTTAAATTTTTTTTTTTTTTTTGCAATGCTTCACAGTGTTCTCTTTAGTGCACCATCCTTAGTGCACAGTGAGGACATTTTCTGCTCTGTTCTGAGAAGGCTAAGTGTTCCAGTACTGAGAAACAGGGTAACATGGAAGAAATTCAGCTTGATTTAATTAGGCGAACGGAACAGGGAGTTAGAGAGAAAATACAACATAAACTTAATGGTAACATAAAATACCATAACATATCATTTTACTTGTATTTTTGGCACCATGCTGGATAACCAAGTTGTTCTCACCTGGTTTTATTTTACAGCCCAGCTTTTACATTTGACATCAATTAGCAATCAAACACATTATTGCTAAATTATTTTGTAGTAAAAGAAACTTGTACCACTTAAAAAAAAATGTGTCATGGGCATGTTATTTCAACATAATTTCATAATTTTGTGTTATTCGGTACCGCAGTATCAAAATACTGTGACATCTGATACATCACTGATTTATATTTTGTGGACCAATCTAGTAACTTTTCTCAGAAGAGCCACATAGGCTGTATATTACGATTGCTTTATTATGATTAGGATAACAGCCATTGTTTATTTTCTAATAGTTATCGAGGCTAAAATCTTGCTCTAGAAACACCCCACATGTGGAAGTAATGTAGTAACTCTACTATGACCGACTGGCGCAGACGCAACCAGGCATGTCCAGCTGTTTGGCACATACTGTAGTATTATGAGAATATACATATTAACTAGAGGGGCGGGACACGAGAGGGGGACTGTCGCTGACGCAACTCAGAGGGCGTGGCCTGTATTCTGGCGTTCCTGCCATTGAGAGGATTCAGTGTGCGGTGACTCGGACGGAGTCGGCTTTACTGTCGGGAAACGAGCTCAATCATTAAGTTAAAGTCTTTTTTTTTTTAAAACACTCAATTAGCGTGTTGAAATTTATCTTACCTCTGGATGTTACTTCGCCAAATACGCGTCGTATGAGGTGTGTTTTACAGCGGTTGTGGTGAGTGGATTTGTTGGAGAGCTGCGTAAACTGGAGTTACGGGAAGCGAAGGAGATTTTCTCGGCCCTGGTTTTCATGAACGGACCCCTTACAACTTACTAAAGTTCGCAGATATACTTCAGCTGCGCTCTATTTTCACCATTCCCCGGTAGGTATGCTTGTTTTATGAAATATGCAGCGTATTTAGGATTGGTATGTATTGTAATGTTGAGATTATGGGAGGTTTAATAAGGTCGCTTTACTGTGTCGATTGTTCCAGCACAGCGTGTCCCAACTGGCTCTACGCGCTCACTTCACATTATTGACTCTGGCGATTTATTTTCTACCGCAACCGTGCGTTTTAGCGTCGTAATTGAAGATATAATCTTTCTAAAATGATTTTGCGTATACGTCAATGTATTTCGCTCTAATAATAATGTTATATTATTTAAGGCTAACGTTAGCAAATATGCTAACCCCGACCACGCAAGATTAATATAAATCTATAAATAAAGGCGTCTCCGATTAACGCCACAGGCCATGAGATTACAGCCAGTTCAATTTTGTTGTATCTATGGTGAGTGATTTGTATCTGATTTGATTGTGGTTTTCAGTCTTAATGATGCACTTTAATTGTCTTTTTATTTAAACAATTCACACTGGGTTAGTTTATGCCTGGCTAAATTGTTTACGTTTGATCTTAAAATAGCGCCGATTATTAATCGTAATCTGTTACGTGAAACTCAATCGAGAGTTTTGCACGGTCAGCATTGCGACTCTTTGGAGTTTCTTCTGCGCCATTTGTTCTTTTATTTGCACTTGTCCAAAAAGTGTGTATCTGCATTTGTGTATTGTGTTGTGATGCTTTCTGAGTCAGTTTGTCCGTTTTTTTTTAGGCATGTGGTGTTTACAATTTTGAAAGAAGTTTGTTTCATGACTTAGAAAGAAAAATAAGCATTCCATCAATCCTTTCAAAATACTATAGTATAAAATGTAGCTAAAAATATCAAGCATTTACTCTAAAGCTGCAGCATATTTATAACCTATTGTTGTTTATACTATTAAGCTACTACAGAAAATAAACAGCTGCACACTTAATTTTTGTTGTTATTTGTTGGATTATTTGTTTTTGAGCACATAATGTACAACAATTACAATGTTTCCCCATGGAATTTGAGTCTGTGTGTAGTGTGGCGTGTGTAAAATGGCTTCTCTTCTGTGTTTCAGGTTCGAGTTACTCTGTGAGATTCACAGGATAAGGCCTCACACAGATGGGAAGAGTGTGTATAAAGCACCTTGAAGGTGCACCCAATCATTGGACTATTAGTTTTACGTAATCCACTCATCCTTAGAGAATACAGTGTGTATGATGTTAATAAAGGCTTAAAGTCATAGGGAGAAAAAACAACAACTTTTTTTTACTCTTGCCTCACATCCAAATATTGGTTCAAAGAACCTTTGTAAATGATCATTATCATTTTTGTGACACCAAAAGTTTGAGACGACACCATCAAAATGAGTGCAGAAGGATATCAGTACAGAGCGCTGTATGACTATAAGAAAGAGAGGGAGGAGGATATTGACCTGCATGTAGGGGACATTCTTACAGTCAATAAAGGTGCACTACTCACAGTTGGTTACACTGAGGGGATGGAGGAGAGACCAGATGAAATCGGATGGCTGCCTGGCTTTAATGAAACTACTCAGGAAAAGGGGGACTTTCCTGGTACGTACGTGGAGTTCATCGGCAAGAAAAAGATTTCTCCACCAACTCCCAAACCAAGACCCCAAAGGCCTTTACCGGTGGCCCCAGGGCCCTCAAGGCCAGACTCGGACTCTGAGCAAAGTGAGTGAGCTGTTTTTTGTTTTTTCATGAATTTTATTTTCAGCACTTTTTTAACCACATTGAGTTCTCAGGAAATGTTGCTAACTGGGTTTAATCCTGCATTGGCTGCATAAGCACCCCAACTTGGTGCACTATGATCCGAATGAGCTTGAGAATTCAAAATATTTATGTCTCAAACCCTCTACCTGTTTACCATTTTGAGCTGCTGTTTAGATAGTTACTTAATTCCACAGAAGCTGTCTATAGTTAACCTTTAGATTAATATTTGATCACCAGAGTTGACCTTAACCAGTGGTCACAAATCAGGTCTTCTTTTATTTAGAGTATAAAAATTGTCATCAACCATTTTAGCTCGGTTTCTTTGGATCTCAGGGTGCATAATTTTAACATTCTCTTTCCTCTTAACTAGATCCATTCACGTTGATGCCAAACCCACGTGCCTCTCTCAAAATACCCACTCACCACTTTTTCCATTTTCGTGATTAGTGACCAGATTTTACACCACCATTTCATCAAGAGATTGGATTTATAGCTGCAGCACACAAATGTCCCCTGAATATTTAAGGCTGTTTTAGGTTTGCACTGGGCTATGGTTCGTAATTGCAAACATGGCAGGAAGCCCAGATCTGGATGAAGGCCTGCACACAGTAGTTTGTAATTGTCTAGCATGGCTGCATCTTTCGCACAGCCACAGTATGAGCATTTAGAGCCCCCTATGGCTCCTTTAACATATCACCCAGATCTCTTAATCTGTAGTTTTGGTTTACGCTGTCCTCGTGTGCCAACTGTTACATTTCTATTCTAGTGATGTGACCAGCCATGTCTAAAAAGGCTTCATCTGTATATTTATTGTACATGATACAATACAGATTCTAAGGGAGTTATCATGCTTGAACTTTTGCGGACCCAAATCCATTTGACGAGTTTCCATTTGATTTGTTTGAGTTTAGTTTGTGTGGAAATGTTTGTCAACAGTCAGTATCTTTGCTCTTCCATTTGGCGATGCTAATGGTAGAGAAAGTATTTACATTTTAAACAAAGTGTGTTTAATTTAACTAGGGCTGTGCAAAAAAATCAATGCGATTTTCATGCGCATCTCGTCAGTAAAGCCGCTCCTGTGATTAGTAGTAAATCTCCAGCACGTGCTTTCAGATGGAGCGGCATTTACTACACAGAGCCGTAGTTCACTGACAAGCTACACAAAATCGCGTTTTAATCGGCAATGAATAGCCTGCGATTTTGAACGCGATTTTGTCTGAAAGCACGTGCTGGAGATTTACTACTAATCACCAGAAGCGACTTTACTGATGAGATGCACATGAAAATCGCATTTGATTTTCTGCCCAGCCCTAAATTTAACCCAGTTTCCCATACACAGTCAGTATTTTTTTTTTTCTTGTTTGCCTCGGTTGTCATGGTGACGACTAAGTTAGATGTTATTTTCAGGTTATCAGGTTATGGAACATAGATCGTAAGTGAGATATGCCACTCAGAATCATTGCTGTTGAAAAGCAGTGGCAAACTTGTTTGCTACTTCCTTGTCCTATGTGGTTTGATGCATAAAAACATGAACACATACCTTTTTTTGATCTTTGATGAGAGCTATTTTTGTTTGACGAAACTCACCTAACTTTTCCCGGAGGTCACGATTGCTTAAGCAGCATGACTGTGACTAAAGTGACACTATGGCCTCTTTCTGTTCTGAATGACTATTCCGATTTGTGTCCATGTTAAAGGAAGGGAGAGGTATAGAGAACGGAGTTTTGCGGAATGTAAACCAGAAGCAGATCTGGATGATGGCCAGAGCTCTTGGCATTATGCTTCTCACACAGTAGAAACAGGACTCAAACCCTGATCACCCACACCACCACTAAAACCACATAAAATTCCAGACAAATGTCCAGCTATAAAGCCTAAGCACTTTTGACTTGGCTGTGACAATTTAAAGGACTGAAACCTGAGGCTGTTTTTTTACACTGTACACTTTTAGGTAGATGATTTTAGTCTTACTAGAAAATCTCTGGTTTTTCTTCCTCATTTGAAATGACCAACTTATACTTTTTTTTTTCTTGAATTTCCCTTAGTCAGTCTATTTGCATTAGTGTTGCATAAAGAATCAGTGCAGAGAGAAGTGAAATGCCAGAAAATGATTCTCAGTATTGATGCTTGAGGTATTTCTCATTGTGACTAATGTTATTTCTGGTGAAACTCCAGAGCCAACTGAGCTCTGGAGAATTTTTTTTTCTCCTTTTTCTTTAAAACTAAAAAAAAATAGCCAAATAGAAATTGTGGTTTCCACAACATAAAAATGGTAATAACGGGAAAACGTCACAAAGACTTGCAGCATTATAATAGACTAGACCAGTGGTTCCCAACTAGGGATGGGTATTGTTAAGGTTTTAACGGTATTACTACTCTTAACGATACTGCTTATCGGTTCGGTACTTTAACGGTATTCTTATCGGTACTTTTTGTTTTAAATATATATATGACCAATTAAGAGCTGAATTAACATTGCTTTATATTCTGAAATGTAAAATAAACATTTAATGAAATTAATATAAAATATCAATTTGTAAATACTCTCCAAGCCGGCCATTTTGACATTTTTGTGTGTATTTGATCGATTGGACATGCACCCGAAGCTCAAAGTGTCATTTGTTTGGCCGTTTTGGAGCACGCCGCGCGCGCACATTTCAGCCTGAGGAACAGCGTCTCTTGTGCGGATTGTGCTTTCAACGTTTTACTATCAATCATGTCCCGCAATTTAGCAACAGTAAAGTCGGCATTTTACAACAATCACGGATTGAGCTGATTCTGACGTTAAGTTTGGGTTTTAGGGAGGAACGAATGTGCACCGCTGTGAAGGGAAAGAAGTTGCGCAAGACGAAACGCAGCTAGTTTTTAATAGCTTTACCTCATGTCTTTTGTATAATCCTTAGAAGCCAAAATCGAAATAAAACAAATAAAATGAGCTTAATAAAACAGCCACAGATCTAAAGTGTAAGCAGATGTTTGAATGTTTAGTTCTCTCTTCTATCATAATTAAACAGGGCTTTCATGTTGCGCGTGCTGAAGCTCCTCCGCGTGGGCGCGATCTCGCTTCTGAATTGCGAATAGCAAAAATGCATCATAGACAAATGTTTGAAAAGCAGCTGGCGAATCTGGTGAGATAGAATTTGCAAGATAATGTGTATATATAGCAATAATAAATGTATGTGTGTTTTATTAATTTCTCCAGTACTGATAGCAGAACCGTTAACGTCAGAGTTTATCGATACTCCGGTCATTTATAATTTAGCCCCGGTACCGATTAAATACCGAGTTTCGGTACCCATCCCTATTCCCAACCCTGATCCTGGAGGCACCCTAACACTGCACATTTTGTATGTCTCCTTTCTCTGACACACAAATTTCAGGTCTTGGAGTCTCTACTAATGAACTGATGACCAGAAGCATGTGTGTTTGATTAAGGAGACATGCAAAACGTGCAGTGTTGGGGTGCCTCCAGGACCAGGGTTGGGAACCACTGGACTAGACTGTGTTTAAATGAGTGATAGGAACCATTGCATCTTGACTCCCAGAAACTGCTGTTAAATGTTCTTTTCAGGTCCAAAAGCTGTACAAGTCAGCTTAGTCCCCAAAACATATACAAGTCTCATAATTTTCAGTGGAAAACCCGTAAATTGACATTCCCAGAATTTTTTGCGTGACAGCCCACATTTAAGTTTCATTATTTTTGTGTTACCCTGATGGTACGGTAAAGTTCTGGCAACCCCCCCCCCCCCCCCCCTCTATACTGTGTACAGTACAGTTAAACAGCAGTACTGGGATCAGTGTGATTGTATTGTGTATTTAAGGCACCTAGGTTTCACTTCTCATTGCCTTGCTGTGTTTCAGATTTATTAGCTGCCACTGAATGGTCTTTCAGATTTTTCTTATTCTCTCTCCGCCCTAGCTCTCTTATTTCTACATCTTCCTCTTTGAATTTTTGGATTATTCTTCTGGGGTCAGACCTGACGAAGGGGATTAAGGGGGAGTGTTCAGCTTGGGGCCTCTAGCTCTCTCTGTCTCTCTCTCTCTCGCTCTCTGTTTGAGCCGCAGGGGCTCGCTGCAGAGAACAGCAGATGTGGAATTCCAGTCCAGTCCGTTCCGGCTCCCAGGCTTTTTTATAACACTAACATGCTCCTTTCTGCGGGCCTCTGGAATGGAGTGAGAGGATCCGTATGTGCCCAGCCCAGATTTTGCACAATTCTTGTTTTATTTCTTAACCCATTCTTGCTAACTGCATTTTGGGTCCACAAAATGTATTGCTCTGTTTTTCCTTCACTTGGGTTCCAAGTTGGATGTTTTTTTTTCTGTACGTGACTTCGAACAGGGAATGACATCTTTTATGGCTTTAACTTCTTCTATTCTATGGAAATTAGAGTTCCCCTCTATCCGCAACTGTTCTGTTTTATTGCATGGAGAATGATGGTGCTGAGCTGGTAAACATATGGCATGAGTTCTTGACCATTTTTATTAATGTAATATTGCAGTGATTATTATAAATGATTCATCCATGCACAGCATTATTTTTTATTTAAAGAATTCATATGCCCTCATAATAAAATTCGAAGTAACTTCCCCTCCCTTTTTCTCTGATAACATATGGTGCATAGGTGGGACAACCTGTCACTCACATGAGATCGCAGAAATAGCAAACGACAACAATCAAATGATCAAATCAATTCTTGAAGGACCAAATTAAATCTGCCCTACTTTTTTCTCATTCAAGAAGCCGTTTCACTCAGATATGCCTCACAATAGGAAGACGATTACAACTTCTGTTTCATATCAACTTGTATAGCGGAAAGAATTTTTTTTTTTTTCAATGGCCAATATGTAATTCAATAATAAATATGAGGAAATTACTAAATAAATAAGAGCTGCAATGGTTACAAAAGTGGACTAGTCATCCAAAAACTTAATAGTGATTTGATAATATTTTTCTTTTAGCG